ATGCTGTTGTGTAGAGTAGGGTGCAAATCTGTGCTGGGGTGAAGGGATCTGCTGGTTAGAGCCAGACAGAAAAGGGACAGACTCTGACCATGAATTACGGTTTCCCACACTCATTGGTACCGTTTTTTTTCATCCCAGGTTTGCATTACCAGAGCAGACGGACGAACTGGGGTGTTAGAAGACACCATCTTTTTCACCTTGGATTCTCTGAAACTTCCTTCTGGATATGTGCCTCAACGAGATGATATTGTCAATGTGGTTGCAGTACAGAGCATTCAATCCCCCTATTTCTGGAGAGCAATCACAATGACCCCAGTACAAGTATCATAGGAACCAAGCCTTTGTAGTTCTTCTTCACCATTACTTCTATGGCTGAGGGGCCTGGTTTAATGCAATAGTTTGAATTATTAAGCCAAAATATATGTTCAATATGTTTTTACTTGGAAACACCCTGATGATTTTGTTGGAAGTATGGACTCACTTAAGAAGGTGCCTGATCTATTCAGAGACATCCCCAAACTGGCTTTTGTCTGTAGCAAAGGAACAACACTTCATACTAGGTCAAATTCTTTGTTTTCCATGGTCAGGAATGTATTGTGCTGCTAGTGGCCCTTGAGCAACATTCAGAGGGAGCTCAGCAAATAGAAGTGTGTAATATCTGAGTCCCCTTATACTGTATACAATGTTTACTTTTTCCATAGCATTTTTCATTTCCCAGTACCTATTCAGTTTGTTAAATTTAATATCTATCTAGTGGAACCCATACTTCCATGTCAGAACGTGAGATTCGTATATACAGGGTTTGTGTTTATCCACAGCTTCTCGGCTGTGCCTGGTAGTTGAGGTAGATGGCATCTTGTTAACTTTAATAAACAAGTTATCTAAGCAACAGTCCTGTTTACCTGTGGTTAATTTGCCATTCAGTCTCCGGGAATGAAATGTTCTGTATGTTATCAGCTGTTTAGTTGCTGGGCATTTGGAAACAAAAACATTGCCGTATGGGGTGTGAATCAGCTTCCACGATCTTCTTTGTGGGAGAGGTGAAGCTTGTGTCCAGAAAAGCACTGGAACAAATCCGAAGCACCATGAAGGAAGGGGACACGGCCTTCTCAAGCTGGAGGCTGTTACTAAGATCCCATGGGTTTACCCCATGAGATTCCTCAATTTTTCTTAACAGCATGTACCCAGATGACTGTACTATTGTGAGGTATGTATCAATGTGTGGTGTCACTGAGAGGTAATGGTGAGTTCTAACTCTGTCCTAAGAGTCAACTTTCTACCCTATGCCACTGGCCATGAGTAAGTTTGATGATGATTTTCCCTTACATTTCTAGTCAGCACTGTTGTGGGATAATCTTTTAGTACACTGTAAAGATGTGTGTCTGCCTAAGGCACCTTCTGATTGGTTTAATAGAAAGCTAAATGGTAAATAGCTAGGCAGGAGAGGATAGGCAGGACTTCCTAGCAGAGGGAGAAAATCAGGAGGAATCTGATGCTCAGATTTCTCCAGCAGACATGGGGAAAGCTAGACGTGCCATACTGAGGAAAGATAAAAAAGTCACATGGCAGAATGTAGATTTAAAAATATGGGTTAATTAAGTTATAAGAGGTAGATGGAGCCAGTCAGTGGTGGCGCATGCCTTTAATCTGGCACTCGGCAGGCAGAGGCAGACAAAACTCCTGAGTTCGGGGTCAGCTGTGTCCACAGACTGAGTTTCAGGATAGGCTCCAAAGCTACGAGAAACCTTGAAACCCTGTCTCAACACACACACACACAACAACAACAACAACAACAACAACCAAACAAAGAGCTAAGTGAAAACAAGCCTAAGCTAAAGGCCAACCTTTCATAATTAATAAGTCTCTGTATCATTATTTGTGAGCTGGTGGTCCTAGCATTAAATTACTACTACAGCACTTCTCACAGTCATTGTATAATTAAAGACACAGGAGTGAACTGCTTTAATCTTAAGTAAATTCTCAGTAACTGTGATACTTATCACACAGTCATCTAGGTATTGGACTAATATCAAAAGCATGCATGACCAGGTTGTAATGGAACCTGGCTCATGCCATTGTCTCTCTTGTTCCTGACCCCAGGACCCATAACATAGGAAAGGAAGGCATGGGGAAGCTTGGAAAGCTCCAGGTCCCTGTGACTATCATCACAGGAGGGGTGGTAGGGACATAGCATTTAAGAAAACACAGAGAAGAAAAGAGGAAGGTGAGCTTAATGAAAAAAGCATTTTCAAAGCCATGGACTACCTACCATATGCCATGGTCAATTGCTAAACTAGGAGAGTAGCAAGCTGGTGGAGGAAGGTCATTGGTTAAAAAAATAAAGAAACTGCTTGGCTGGCCCTCATAGGTTAGAACATAAGTGGGTGGAGTAAGCAGAACAGAATGCTGGGAGGAAGAGGAAGTGAGCTCAGACTCGACATCTCTCTCGGGAGCAGGCGCCTCAGAAGAGACGCCATGCTCCCCTCGCCAGGCCAGACACAGGCTATGAAGCTCCGACCCAGGATGGACATAGGCTAGAATCTTTCCGGTAAGCGCACCTAGCTGTGCTACATAGAATATTAGAAATGGGCTAGTCCAGGTGCGAGAGTTAGCCTAGAAGAGGCTAGATAGAAATGGGCCAAGCAGTGTTTAAATGAATACAGTTTGTGTGTTGTTATTTCGGGCATAAGCTAGCCAGGCAGCCAGGGTGCTGGGGACGCAGCCCCGTTGCTCTTATTACTACAGCAAGCATGTACTTTATACACACAGGGAAGAGGCATGGTGAAGAAAGATAACATACCTTATGAGGAAAACCATATTCATGGGAATTAGATACCCAGAAAACACTCTGAAGTACTTATTTCCCTTCTGTAGCTATGGGAAAATTTGAGAAATAAAGACCTCCTTAGAAATCCTATGAGTATTTAAGATTCCTATTTCATGATGGAAATATAGCAATGAAAAATGAGGCAGGAAAATAGGGTCAGACACACAAGACTGTGAGTCATAAGATTACAGTAACTGAAAAAAAAACATCCATTTGACTGCCGTAAGGATTGTGGGGGGGGGGAAAAACAACCCTTCTAGCAAAGAGCATTAATCACCTAAACAGCAAACAAAGGGTCCACCCTTTCAGAGAATCTTTACTTTCCCTCTGTAATAAAAAGTACTTGGACGCATAAATGGGGTTCTTGAGCCACACACTCATTTGTTTGAGGAGCATATTTTATGCCTTTACTTGTACTTCTAATAAAACTAGACTTTAATTATTACTACCATATGTCTTGCTGAAATCTTCATTAGAGATGGAAAGAACCTGGCCTTTATGTCATGGTTGACCTGAGAGATTCCCTCCAGTAACAAGAGGCAAGTTTTTGGTGGGATCCCAGCACCGCAGAAAAAAGAAATTAAACTGCCCTCTTAATCTAATTATGCACTAATGGTCAAAGACTAATTTCTTCCAATATAAATTATACTAGTTTGAAAAAGGATGGTTTATATACATGTCTGTCTTTTTTAAGTTGGAGAACGGTCACTTTAAGGGATTATATAGGAAAAAAATAAACATGAAAGAGAACTTTTGCTTTTCCTCTAATGCGTTTTTGTCTAAACATATGTTTAGTTATATCTAAAGTTTCAAATTTATGACATCACACTTTTTTATGTTTCTCTTTAAAAATGCACTTGGTTTTTCAAGATAGGGTTTCCCTGTGTAGCTCTGGTTGTCCTGGAACTTTCTCTGTAGACCAGGCTGGACTCAAAGTCAGAGATCTACCTGGCTCGGTCTCTTGAGAGCTGGGGGTAAATGTGTGTGCCACCACAGCACAGCACAAAATACACCTTTAAAAAGGCAAGTTATTAAACTATTAGTTTGATAATGAGTCTAAAAAATCTTCCAAACATTTGCTAACATTTGTATTCAGTGACACTCAAGGAACTCTATCTTTGAAGAAAAGTGTAATGTCCTTCAACAACGAAAAGTAATGATACATTATTTTTTTTTAGACAGAGTTTTACTCTGTAGTCCTGGATAGCCTGGAAATGGCTTAGGTAGATCAAGCTGGCTCAAACTCCCAGAAATCAGCATGCCTCTGACTCCTGAGAGAGTGCTGAGGGTAAATGTGTGCTCCACTAGGCCCTGCCCTCATGATATCCTCCTTCGCGTTACTAAGGACATGTGTTATTTAACTGCAGACCAACCCCAATGACATTTGATACCCTGTGGAAATGAAATTCTTGAATGTCTTAAAATTAGTATGTAGGTAGGGCATGCTGTGGTACATGCCTTTAATTCTAGCACCTGGGAAGCACAGATAGTCAAATCTATGAATTTAAGGCCAACCTGGTCTATATACCAAGTTACAGGCCAGGCAAGGCTCCATGAAAAGACCTTGTCTCAACAAACAAAACCAAACCTAGTATAAATTATCAGCTTGATTGATGTATTAACTGTTTAATTCCAGGATACTAATGCAGGCCCTTTAACACATTTTCTTAGAATGGGCTATGCAATTCAGTTAAGTATGGAAAATGGATTGGAGCAGTTTTTTTTCTCTTAAATAACAATGTAAACTAGGCATAGTGGTGCCCACCTGTTGTCTCAGGTACTTTGGAGGCTGAGATGCAGGGACTACCTGAGCTTATACACCAAGTTTATTTTTTAGTTCAGTGTTAGAAACCATCATGGCAATCACGGTAAGATCCTGTCAGAAAAAGATATGAAATAAAGCCAAGGTACCTTTGTATACCTGATGTTTGTACCTTTGGGACTGATATACTAAAGACTAAAGTCAATATCCAAACAATCATTTTTATTGAAAAAAGTTAACAATGTCATAAAGAAAAATCCACTCTATTATAACAAAAGAGTGAAAGCTTTGACATACAAGAATAGTTGATACTGACACAACTGGATTTTATTCAAAATAAGGTAAGACAAGGTGAACAAGCTAATGACTAAAGACCTTGCCGTATCAACCAGAATTTATCTTAAACTATGATTATTCGCTGGCACCTGAACCGTGTTCCTTAGGATGCATCATGGACTGAAAAGCCTGTTGAAGGCTAACCATCTCTTGCTGATGCTGTTAAGGAAAAGAGATAGTAAACAGGTTTATTTCTTACTGTCAGTGTATTCCTACAGTAGGAAATAAAATATTTCAGTGCTTTTATTAATTCCTATTTCTGATTTGAAATACAACTTACAGATTCTTTCATAATTTTTCTTCGCAGCCTGTTCATTTCTTCTTTAAGTTCATTGTGTATATCCATAAGCAGACAGTCGTTCTTCTTCTCCACATCCTCCAAATTCTAAACACAAAAGGCTAGTTTAGTCCCATGGCATCTTTCATCCCAAGTTCTAAGTTTTAAAATAAAATTTCAAGAGAATTTTAAGTATTTTAGTAATACACATTACTTTGAGAAAAAAGAAAAAAAAAACAAACCTAATACACGAAGACCCAAATTACTACTGTTAAGCCACAAAATAACTCAGACATCAACCAAACAGAGTTATAGAAGATACAATGGCACACTGTGCTCAAGAAGCAGTTTTAGTGAATGTTAAGGTCAGGCTGAGGCCGGAGAGGGCAAGAGCTGGGCACAGTATCACAAACTTTGCAGGCGCCACTGGGAGAGCCTGAAGGCTAACATGTGGAATATAGACACTTTCTCTTCCAGAAAAAGGAAATGGAAAATAGAGAAATAGGAATTCTGAAAAGTCTTCTAGGCAACCATCATAACTGCGAACATTTCTAATGATTTTCTCAATCATCAGGCTACAATCTACTTAAAGACAAAAAGTCAATATAGCATGATGTGACAATAAATTTACCAAAGGGAAAAATAATCTATAGTATGAGATCATTTTCAAGTCATTAATAGCAAAATTTATATTATTGTTTTGTAAGAGAGTATCTCACTTTAGTGACCAGCTACCTTCCAACTGTCCACTCATCTGTCTTTAGCACTAATACTGCACCAATGTGCTGATCATTTAAAAATGATGGTTTAAATCTTTCCTAATCATTTGCCAATCATTGCCATTACATCACCAACCAAGTGACAAATACAATGTTAAGTGCTATGAAGAAAACAAGAGAGAATAATACATAATTGCTCATTTTTCCAGAAAAAATAAACATTTTAACCAAAAGCATAGTGGCCGTGAGGTGGTGGTGCACTCCTTTAATCCCAGCACTCGGGAAGCAGAGGTAGGCAGATCTCTGTGAGTTCGAGGTCAGCCTGGTCTACAGAGTGAGTTCCAGGACAGCTAAGACAGTTATAAAGAAAAACCCTGTCTGGAAAAGCCAAATATATGTATGTATGTATTATATATGCATGCATGCATATAATTTATTATATATATATATGTGTGTGTGTGTGTGTGTGTGTGTGTGTGTGTGTGTGTGTGGCAAGAACTATGAAGAATGAATTGAAAGTCAGAGCAAACAGTTTTAATAGTAGAAGCAAAGGATGATGAGAATATTAAATAGTATAAGCTAGGATCTCAGCAATAGGACTTAAATAAATAATGAAGCACTATGGAAATGAAAATCGTCAAAGTCTAGTAGTGAAAACATGGGCTATGAAGAAATTTGAAAATAGTTTCAGGGAATATTAGAGCAAACTTGTAAGAGCTGCATTCGGAAACACATAAAATAATTTTCTTTAAAATATTTTAAAACTATTGTTTATACATCAACTTACTAGCATATACTTAATTCTCAAGGAACAAATTTTAATCTTTGACTATTAAATTCTAGGATAATGGATAAGTTATTTTAGCCATTGGAATAATTTTAAAAATTGACATGCTAGAAAAACCTCCCTACTAAATTTCAAAACAAGGTTTAATTTAACTTGGGTCCTTCCTGGGGCTGGAGAGATGATTCAGTAGGTAACAGCAGCCGGTGCTGGAATTGATGACCAGCACCCACAAGGCTGCTCTCAACTTTCTGTAACTACAGTTACAGGATATCCTTTGCACTAAATATTTTCAAAAAGGTATTTTGAGCCTTTCCTGTTTAATATATATAAGAATTACAAAGATCATAGAAATGATATGTAGACTTTCTCTTTCCAGTTCAATAAAGAAAATGAATATACTTGAAGTATGACTATTAATATATGTGAAGCATATATCTATGGAAAACTCATAATTTGCCATCTTCTATCTGAAATAACCACCATAAAACCATTAGAATTCTACAGATCTACCACATCAATTAAAAACAATTCATTCAAAATGGAAATTACCTTATTCTGGTAAGGAAAATGTACATTATATCTTTAGGAACATATTGTTATCATGTCTAACATACCTTTATGAACTGCTCATGTATTTGTTTAATTGTTTTCAGTCTCTTGCTCTGAACGAGTCTACACTGTTGAAAAGCCTTTTCTTCCTGTTGAAAATCATTCTACAAATACAAAAGGAAAAACTGTATTAACAGTTTAGTAATGGTTGGTTGTTCTGGGCCTCATACATGCACGACAAACACTGTCCTTTTGAGCTACAGCTTAATCTCTAAAACTTTAAATTAAAAAAAAAGTCTATTTTAAACTCAGAAAAAATATTTTAAAATGACTAACTTTATTATTTCTCTTTAATAACCATTATGCCTGTTTAAATTATTCTCTAAACACTAACATGTTATAAACCTTCTTCATTAGCTTCCTAAAATTATAGGCCAGATAAGGTAGATAATCATTTTCAAGACACCATTTATTCTTGGAAATTTCAGTCTCCAAACAAGCCCAGCTTTGTTTTCTGAAACTAACACAGGAATAGCTTCTCTATGCATATTAATTAGAATTGTGATACCAACCATTAGTTTTACATATTTTTCCTGCACTTTCTGAAAATCCAAATCCCATTGCTGAAACAGATTTGTAAATGCCTGAGCAGACTCTTCGTTAAGCTTTGCCCTGTAAACATAATAATGAATGGCGTTACTTCTTATACTAGTAGGAAAGTAACATTCAAGCCAAAATTGAGTTGATACACTATTATAGTGGAAAAAGAAAGTAATAGCAGTTTAAATATTCTGATGAAAAACTCAGAAGTAAAATTAGATTTACACTGATTCCAGAAGTGCTTCTTCCTAAAATAAAAGTCTCCCCTCTCATGGGGACTTTTGAAACCTGGAAATTTTATCATATGTATATCTATTTTCAATATAATATTTTCTCCAAAAAGTTTATTTTTCATTTTTTTCTACTTAATATAGAGTCTTAAAAATACTAAATGATTTTCAAACAAAACATTTCACTAAGTTCCCCACTCCCCATTTTGGCACAGCCACAATCTAGTATAAACCAAGGGGTCATATTCAAATTGACCTCTCTCTACACCATCAGCTATGGTTAAATAACAGTTATTAGATTCTATTCATCTAAACTTAACTAATTTCAGGAGTGAATAATAAAATACCAATTGTTATTTAAAGGAGAAAAACCTAATCTTCATTGGCTTCTGTGAAGCAACACTATAAAGATAGGAGGTCATGAAGGCACCTGCCTAGAGAAAAGTCAAATATTTTCACTAGAGACTCAAACAGAAAATGACATTTTTCTTAAGTGCTTTACATAAATATATATTAAAAATTGGTACAGACAGGTTTTTTGTTTGTTTTCTTTTGTTTTAGGAAAGAAAAACCTTACACAGCATCTTCACGTGAGTTCCAAACTTGTTTCATATTCTGGTCAATTCCTTCCAAAGACTTAGTATTTGTTTCCAGTCTTTGTCTCTTAGCAGTAAGAGCACGGTTAATGTCAACTGTATTTTAAAAAATGTTCATTAGAATTCAATGCTTAAGAAATTACTTTGTTCTCACACATTCAAGTAATTATAAATTCTAATAATGCTCACTCATCAATAACAAACATTTAAACATTTAACATTTAAAACTATAGTGTCAATATGATACAGCTTTCATATTTTGAACACCTAGAATTTTAGATTTTCTGACTAGGTCTGTTCAGTCAACAATTTCTATGAAAACATTCCAAATCCAAAACTCTGAAATCTGAAGCATTTCTGGTCCCAATCATTTTTAATAACCATATGGTAATTAGGATTTTCCTAACTGAAGACGTTTTTAGAGGTGACAAAAATGAACTAATAAACAAAGCAAAGGGGAAGTATAGGATTTATGAAAAATAATTAAATAAACGCTAACTACTTCTAAAATTTATAAAACACTCTATACTGGAAGCGTGCATTTGCCTGAATTCTTGTTAGAGAAGATGGAATAAAATTGCTTATTAAAAATATACCCTAAAAAGGTTAATTTGTCAACATTATTTGTAAGAGAGAGTGAATGAGAGGCTGGGGATGTAGTTGAGTTTAAGCACTTGCCTAGCATATCTTGTTTTGTATGCTATGGTTACTATTTATATTTCATTAAGCGTTTATAGGGCTTTTTTACCACTATGGACAGCAAGCAGTTCATAAAAAATTTAAATTTCAAATATGCTGTGGTAGCAAAAAAAAAAAAAAAACCCGACAGTGCACCGCTGCTAACTCCAGCACTGGAAAGGCAAAGACACACAGATCTCTGTGAATTTTTGGCTAGCCTGGCCTACATACCAATTTCCAGGCCATTTAGAGCTACATTGTGAGACTGTATCTCAACAAGAAAAGAAAATTCTTATCAGTTACTTTTAATAAGCATAAGAAATTTCTATTATATAAATAATTTAGAATTTTAGTAGCTAAAATTTTTTCATACAACACATATATGGAAGAGATAATTTCAGCAGCTAACACACGTATTAAACAACAAATTATAAAACATGTATCTTGACACCACTAAATAGAGAACATCTTTCAAAAAAGCTGCTTATATGAGTAATCCTTAAAGAAGCCTAATTTTAACTGTTTTGTAAGTGTATATGAATGGGGGCATTTTGCTTTCATCTGGTTAGGTCTGTGTACCATGAGCCTCATTTCCACTGAATCCAAAAGGCATCACTGGATCCCCTTGGACTGGACTTACACATAGATGGTTGTGAGCCACCATAAAGGTGCTGGGAATCAAATTGGATTCCTTTGGAAGATGCCAGTGCTCTTAAACGTCGAGCCATTTCTCCATCCCCTATTAACTCTTAAAATAATACTATCCTTGGTTGGGTTTGTTTGTCCCTGTAATCCCAGCACCTGTGAGGTTGTCAGGTGATCTACAATATTAATGCCAGTCTGAGTTCCCTATTAGACGATCTCAAAACAAACAAGTAAACAAGCAAAAGTGAATATTCTCCCCAAGAAAGCCGATGTAATTGATCCTTAACAAACTTCGTAAAACAAGGTTTTAGGGTTCAGATTTTAAACCTCTGTTGGCTATCTAATTTTCTTCTTAGATTATAATTTATTAGAATGAAAATAGTAACAAGGAGTTATATTAGAAGCTTCAGTTTTATACTGCCTAGAAAGGAATGCAGTATAAATCCTAGGAAATAAAATGATTTTTTAAAAAGAAACTGATATACAGAATAAAAGAAACTGATATATAGAAATAGTAGATGGTTTCCTCTTTTCTTCTTCTAAAAAATCCATTGAAGTCACATATGTCTAAAAGCATTATTTTTACTTTTCTCATCATGAAAAACTATAAGGAAGAATATGATGCTAAATCACAAATATTTTATGAAAATCTTATAAATGAGAACAAAGCATTGAAGAGTAGGCATGTAATATACTGGTTAACATATTATATGCAAATTATTGTGTAGTTTTAAATAATTTTCTTTAAAAAAGTATCTTTAAAACATACCTGAAACTCTTCCACAAAGAGCCTCTACCTTTTCCCTAAGAAGAAATCACATTTTAAAAATGGCACTGTAGTTCAGTAAAAGAGCATTTTCCAAGCATTCACAAACTCCCCTATTAAATATCAAATACAATGACAAACACTGTTTTGTGAAGGATTCATAAGATATAACAGTTTGGAAAAAATAGCAAATGTCAAGTATCTTATATATACTACCTGTTACATAAACAAAGCAAGTATTTCTTGAAATATATTATTCAACAGTCAAACAATTTTTAATATATTACCCCATATCTACAAACAGTTCTACGGGACTTCTCCTTCCAGGTGAATCACTTGATGAACTCTGTTCCACTGACAAGAAAAAAAATTTTGAAATTAAGAACACTTCTAACAAACAGTAATAAAACTATGTTTGCAGTTTTTTCAGACATTGACAACTTAAGCTTTTGTATTAGATATAGAAATGCAATTTTTTCTTTGAAGGTTAGATGAAGTTAAATCAGGATTCATGACCATGTGTAGGAATAAATTTTGAAGTGTTTCTAGGATAAGATTACATAGCAAGTTATTTATCAATCAACATGTTAGGACTTCAAAGGCAAGATACACTACATGGATTTCTAAAATTTAGGTATAGGGATATGGAGAGTAAAGTACACAGAATAAACTAACAAATTGTAAGTGTATTAGATTCAATACAAAAGAGCTGGAGCAAAGTATCAACACATTCGATGCCTTTAAATTTTTTTATGTTATTATTAGTAGTAGACACACATCAGTGTGGGAATCAGAGAACAGCCTTCTGCAGTAGATTTCTTTCCTTCCTTCTACTATGAGGGTTCTGGGAATCAAACTCTGGTCCTCCTGCTTGCAAGGTAAACACTTTTACTCCCAGAGCCAGTTTGGCAGCCCCCAACATTTGACATCTTATACCTTGAGTATCACTCGGAATTGAAACACAGAAATCCGGTTCATCGTCTGAGTCATAAATTACTATGTGCTCTTTCTCCGCATGTGAGCTTTCAGGCTCTTGGGGCTCTTCCGGATCCCTTCTTGCATGGGGAAACATAACTGTATATTTTCTGTTTGAAAACACAAGAAGAAAAACAAATCTCTCAAAACAACTGAATCCAAAGGTATTATTTAAGTAAACTGAGAAAGCTATCAAATAAAATCAAGATGTTCTTTTTTTATATATTATTTATTTATTACGTATACAATATTCTGTCTGTGTATATGTCTGCAGGTCAGAAGAGGGCACCAGACCTCATTACAGATGGTTGTGAGCCACCATGTGGTTGCTGGGAATTGAACTCAGAACCTTTGGAAGAACAGGCAATGCTCTTAACCACTGAGCCATCTCTCCAGCCCCCAATCAAGATGTTCTTATGTGAATAAAGTGTTAACAATTTTCTTACTTTACTGCATCCAAAGGAAAACAAAAATGGCAGTTGTCAATGTAAAAATGATACACAATAGTGGAAAAAGTAAAGGGTGCTCGGGTTGTTTCTAATGGATTTGAGGCTGACCCCAGAAGTATAGAGATAGTGCCTAGAACATTTCTGGCCTTTCAGATCCTACTGAGGACCCTATTCCCTCCTCACCATGCCAGCTCCCCAGTTCTACCAGGGTCCCTGGAACCTCTGCTTCCCTGGGCCTTTTGTTGTTCCTTATCCCCCTAACTCTTAATCCCTTTAGCTCCCCCCACCCCTGTACTCACCCTTTCCCCTAGAGCCCTTTCCTCACACTGAGTTCCTCCAGGACTCTAGCTCCTACACGCTTTTCAGTACTGCACTCCCTCTCCAATACTAAGGACTAACACTTCATACTCAGTCTAGCTTGTCACTGCCTTTCATGTTCTCCTTGTCCCAAGAGACTCCATCCCTGCTAACCTTTTCCCAGCTCTCCTAACCTACAAGCTCCTCCTAACCCTCTAAATCTTTCTTACTTCTACCCTCTCCCCAGTTCTGCCTCACCTCATACACTCCCCAGTTCTTCCTCATCCGTAACTCCTCCCCAGTAACCTCTCCTTGACTCTTCCTCACCCCCAGTTCTTTTCTTCTGTCTGCTTCCCCCTTCCTCCTCACCCCATTGCAGTCCTTCCCCCAGTCCCTCCCAAGCTTCTCCTTGTCCTTACTCCCTATTCAGGTCCTCCTCCTTGGCAACCACTATCTAGAACCTTCTAATCCCCAAGACCTCCCCAGATCCTGACCTCTAGCCCCTACCTAGCTTCAACTCCCCAAGTCCCTCCTCATCCCTTTTCCTTCTGGTTCCCCATACGTCCCCAGCATCTTCTCACCTACAGTCCTTCCCAAGATCATCCTCACATCAGAGCTCACCCTTGTTCCTAGCTTCTCCCCAGCTCCTCCTTACCCATAACTTCTCCCCAGCTCCTCCTAACCTCCCAGTTCCTCCTAACCACCAATAGCTGTCCCCTTGTTTCTAGTCCCTCTCCAGTTTATTCCTCATCCCATCTAGCATCTCCTACCCCTTAACCCTACTTACTCCTACTTATTCCAGCTCCTCCCCAACATCTAGTTCCCCTTTGTTTTTTCCATTTGCCCAGCTCCTCACTCCAGCCCTTGTCAAGTTCATCCTCACCCCTAACTCCTTCCTAGCTTCAACTCACATCCAGCTCCTCCTTACCCTTGGCCCCTCCCCAGTTTGGACAGCCAGCCTCTCCTTTCCGCTCCCCAAATCCTCCTCACTATGTATTTCTTCCTAGCTTCTCGGGCCTCCCCAGCTTCTCCTCATCCCCAATTTCCTCCTTGCTCCTAATCACTTCCCTGGTTCCCCCTCACCCTTAGCCCCAACAGCCAACTGGCCTCCAGCCCCTCCCTGTATCTTCATTCTCACTCTAGCTTGTCTTTATTCCTAGGCCCCATGCTACTCTGCCGCACCACCCTCTGCTTGGAGTTGCCACCTCCATAATGACAGCAGAGACCTCCCCCATCCTCTAAGCTTCCCTTCCTTCCACTTAGGCTTTAGTCTGCTCGAGGAAAGGAACCTCTGTTTTACTATCAGAGGCCTCAATGGGGTTCCCGGCCTGGGCCACCTCCATTTTACTATTCAGTGGCCTCGTTCGGTCACCTCCATTTTACTGCCAGAGGCCCCACCGAGGTGATGGTCACCTCCATTTTACTGCCAGAGGCCCCACCGAGGTGATGGTCACCTCCATTTTACTATCAGAGGCGCCAGCAAGATTCCGGTCACCCCCATTTTACTACTAGAGGCCCCGGCAAGCTTCCGGTCACCCCATTTTACTATCAGAGGCCACGGCAAGCTTCCGCTCACACCCATTTTGCTATCAGAGGCCCCAACAAGCTTCCGGTCACCCCCATTTTGCTATCAGAGGCCCCAGCAAGCTTCCGGTCACCCCCATTTTACTATCAGAGGCCCCGGCAAGCTTCCGGTCACCCCCATTTTACTATCAGAGGCCCCGGCAAGCTTCCGGTCGCCCCCATTTTGCTATCAGAGGGCCCAGCAAGCTTCCGGTCACCCCCATTTTACTAACAGAGGCCCGGGCAAGCTTCCGGTCGCCCCCATTTTACTATCAGAGGCCCCGGCAAGCTTCCGGTCACCCGCATTTTACTATCAGAAGCCCCGGCAAGCTTCTGGACGCACCCATTTTACTATCAGAGGCCCCGGCAAGCGTCCGGTCACCCCCATTTTATTATCAGAGGCCCCGGCAAGCTTCCGGTCACCCCCATTTTACTATCAGAGGCCCTAACAAGGTTCCGGTCACCCCCATTTTACTATCAGAGGCCCCGGCAAGCTTCTGGTCACCCCCATTTTACTATCAGAGGCCCTAACAAGGTTCCGGTCACCCCCATTTTACTATCAGAGGCCCCGGCAATCCTCCGGTCACCTCCATTTTACTATCAGAGGACCCGGCAAGGTTGCGGCCACCTCTGTTTTGCTATCAGAGGCCCTAACAAGGTTCGGGCCACCTCCGTTTTACTACCAGAGGTCCCGGCAAGCTTCTGGTCACCTCCATTTTACTGCCAGAGGCCCCGGAAAGCTTCCGGTCACCTCCATTTTACTCAGAGGCCCCGTCAAGCTTCCGGTCACCTCCATTTTACTCAGAGGCCCCGGCAAGCTTCCGGTCACCTCCATTTTACTATCAGAGGTCCCAGCAAGCTTCCGGTCACCTCCATTTTACTCAGAGGCCTCGGAAAGCTTCTAGCCGCCTCCATTTTACTCTGAGGCCCCGGCAAGCTTCCGGTATCCTCCATTTTGCTGCCAGAGGCCCCCCGACGATGTTCACACCTCCTCCATTTTAATATCAGAGAACCCCCCCCCCACGATGTTTGCACCTTCTCCATTTTACTATCAGAGACCCCTGACGAGGTTCGCACCTCCTCCATTTTACTATCAGAGGCCCTGACGAGGTTCGCACCTCCCCATTTTACTATCAGAGACCCTGACAGGGTTCACACCTCCTCCATTTTACTATCAGAGGCCCCCCCACAAGGTTCGCACATCCTCCATTTTACTATCAGAGACCCCTCCCACGATGTTCGCACCTCCTCCATTTTACTATCAGAGGCCCCGATGATGTTCACACCTCCTCCATTTTGCTATCAGAGACCCCCTACGAGGTTCGCACCTCCTCCATTTTGCTATCAGAGGCCCCGGCAAGCTTCCGATCACCCCCATTTTACTATCAGAGGCCCCGGCAAGCTTCCGGACACCCCCATTTTACTATCAGAGTCCCCGGCAAGCTTCCAGTCACCCCCATTTTACTATCAGAGGCCCCGGCAAGCTTCCGGTCACCCCTATTTTACTATCAGAGGCCCCAGCAAGCTTCCGGTCACCCCCATTTTACTATCAGAGGCCCTAACAAGGTTCCGGTCACCCCCATTTTACTATCAGAGGCCCCGGCAAGCTTCCGGTCACCTCCATTTTACTATCAGAGGTCCCAGCAAGCTTCCGGTCACCTCCATTTTACTCAGAGGCCTCGGAAAGCTTCTAGCCTCCTCCATTTTACTCTGAGGCCCCGGCAAGCTTCCGGTATCCTCCATTTTGCTGCCAGAGGCCCCCCGACGATGTTCACACCTCCTCCATTTTAATATCAGAGAACCCCCCCACGATGTTTGCACCTCCTCCATTTTACTATCAGAGCCCCCCGACGAGATTCGCACCTCCTCCATTTTACTATCAGAGGCCCTGACGAGGTTCGCACCTCCTCCATTTTACTATCAGAGACCCTGACAGGGTTCACACCTCTTCCATTTTACTATCAGAGGCCCCCGACGAGATTCGCACCTCCTCCATTTTACTATCAGAGGCCACCGACGAGATTCGCACCTCCTCCATTTTACTATCAGAGACCCTGACAGGGTTTGCATCTCCTCCATTTTACTATAAGAGCCCCCCGACGATGTTCGCACCTCCTCCATTTTACTATCAGAGATCCCCCCCACGAGGTTTGCACCTCCTCCATTTTACTATCAGAGAACCCTGACGAGGTTCGCACCTCCTCCATTTTACTATCAGAGACCCCTGACAAGGTTCGCACCTCCCTCATTTTACTATCAGAGACCCCTGACGAGGTTCGCACCTCCTCCATTTTACTATCAGAGACCCCCCCACGAGGTTTGCACCTCCTCCATTTTACTATCAGAGACCCCCCCACACAATGTTCGCACCTCCTCCATTTTACTATCAGAGACCCTGACAGGGTTTGCACCTCCTCCATTTTACTATCAGAGACCCCGCCCCTACGATGTTTGCACCTCCTCCATTTTACTATCAGAGGCCCCCCACAAGGTTCGCACATCCTCCATTTTACTATCAGAGACCCCCCCACGATGTTCGCACCTCCTCCATTTTACTATCAGAGACCCCCCCCCACGATGTTCGCACCTCCTCCATTTTACTATCAGAGGCCCCGATGATGTTCACACCTCCTCCATTTTGCTATCAGAGACCCCCTACGAGGTTCGCACCTCCTCCATTTTGCTATCAGAGGCCCCGGTAATGCCGATGGGCGATTTGCTGTACAAGTAAAATGGCGCCTGGAACCCCGGCCTTCCTCTATGGGACAGACTCCCCCCTCCTTATTCTCCTTCATTCTCGCACTCCTTCCTCCTCAAACTCACCCCTTCCTCCTGCCTGAACTAACCCCCCTTTGGCTGAACCAGGCTTACCGTCACAAAATGTGATCACATTCACAACTCAGATCTCCTTCAGCCAACTGCTCCGCTTCACTGCTCCGCTTCACTACTAGGAGGAGCTTCTGGGGTAACCGACTTTAAATGGAAGGCTCAACCGGGAACCTCTTTGATTGGCTAAATGCTGTGCGCATGCGTGTGTGGGTTACTAGGCTCTTCTGCGAATGCGGGCAGAAATCACAGTGAGTGCGGAGCATCCTGTGGTGGGTTGGTGCCTTGACAGAGGCAGGGCTTGGGTATGGGTGGTTGCAGCTCTTGTGGGCTCCTGGGGGGGGCAGGGCTTTGCGTGCAGGAGACGGCCCGTGTGTAAGGGGAGCAGCTGTGGGGGATAGGGTAAAACATAGGTATAGCAAATCAGAAAGGGACAAGTTGGGGTTCACAGATGTGGGCCATTAACTGATCCATTAGAATCTTTTTTAAAATTTATATTTATTTTTGTGTGGGGCATACACAGCACTTGTGTGTAGGTTAGAGGACTACTCAGTGGAATCAGTCCTTTCTGCCCATCAGTGAGCCCCTGAGATCGAAATCAGGTACTCAGGCGTTGCAGCAGAAACTTTTACCATAAAACAATTTCTAACAGACCGATAAGGGCCTGCAGCTTCTCTGAAAATGGGTAAGTTTGAGGTCTTGCGATTGTACAAGTCACTAGAGAGGACGACATAGACTATCAATAAGGAAGGAATTGGAAATTGTGCTTTTTGGACTCAACTAGCAGCTCAGGGCAGCTCTGGGAAGTATTCACTCTTCCCTGCATGCCCTCTGCTTAGATGGCAGGGGCTCCCTTGGATGGGAAGCCAGACCTCTTCCCACTTCCATACATTGAACAGAACCATGATACCACAGGCAGTAGTCAAGCCACCAAAGGAGCCAGAATTGAGCACTCTGGAGCAGGAGGAGTAAGGAAGGTCAATTTCTTCCAGCAGGGTTGAGAGAGCAGTTACAGGTTTGGGTTTTTCTGGGCAACCTGGCTGGTTCAAAATAATTCTGGTACCTCATACAGGTTAAACTTACCTCTGGACATGTTCAGACCTGTTTTAGAAGGGAGGCCACTTGTTGATTCCCAGCCACCCAACTAGCTTAGACCTGAAATAATCACACAAAAATTGCATTAATTAAATCACAAAGAACAAATAATATATAATTCAAACTGTGAATTTTCCATTTTTGCATGGCTTATTTTTCTTTACTCCTTTTAATCTATGACTGTCTGTACTCTGTCTCATTAAAGACTTTACCTTTTTAATTAAAAAAGCATTAACTTTATTTTATGACTCTCTATACTCTTTTTCTTCTCTCTTCCAAGCCTACGTATATTTATTCAATACTCTGACTCATCTGGATTTGTCTTTATTGCATATCTGTAATTCTTTCCTGTCCAAGAGCGCTTTTTAAAATGCTAAGTGCTTCTTAAAACTTAAGCTGTGTCATTACTATTATATATATGGTACTTTCTGCTTGCCTGCCCAGTCTTAAACTTAAGCTGTTCAATTACTATGATATCTATGGTACTACCTGATTGCCCACCCAGTCCAGCATAGTGGAGCCCCTCGTGCCTCTGAGAGCCATACACATAGCCCCATTCTCAGGCACACAGGCAGTCCATGTCACCATTAATCAAGCCACAGCATGCTGCTCACAAGCCCCGTCTAAATGCTTCATCTCCCAAAAGAGCCAGAGGTTGCACTGGCAGCATGGCCCAGAAAGCCTGTATTTCAAAATGGTGTGGCTTTTTTCCTACAACCAGTGAATCAGGAAAACCTCTCTTAAAGGAGCTGTGGTGGCATGTTGCCAGTAAACAGCAAGAAGCTGTGTTAAACTCTGTATTTTTGTGATTTTTGTTTATGGAATTAAGCACTCTCAGGCTTTAAAGTGGATTTCAGTTTGCCATGTTTGTGCCAATCTGTTGTAGAAGGGAGGCTGCTTGTTGGTTCCCAGCTGCCCAGCTAGCTTAGATCTGAAATATTCACACAGAAACTGTATTAATAAAATTACTGCTTGGCCCATTAGCTACAGCTTCTTATTGTATAACTCTTAAATTAATTTAACCCATTTCTATTAATCTGTGTATGGCCACAAGGCTGTGGCTTACCAGCTAAAGATCCAGCATCTGTCTCTGGCAGGGCTACATGGCTTCTCTCTAACTCCACCCTCCTCCTCCCATGCTATAGGCCAAGCCAGTTCTTTGCTCATTAAAGCAACACATAGACAGAAGGACCTACCTCCCATACCACAGACCAAACAATACCTTTTTTCCTTTTGGGTGGTGACATTGGGGTGTCTTCAGAGCACACAGTAGCAAACAGATAGAGATAGATTTTCCTGGGGCTCTGGAATATCACAAATTACACACATCTAGAAGTCCTCTCCAGCTGGTGCACACTTCCCTGCTCCTGGGAGTCCCTAAGTGTTGGGATCCAGTCTCTGTGGATCTTGCTGGGGCTTCCAGCATATTACTGAAAGCCCATAAGAGATGACTAGACTTTGATCTCCTTGATGTCAAATCCTGAAAAATTACTCAACTCTATTCTAGGAACCAAGATGCCCTAGCTAACTTAGCTTCTGCTAAACTGCCTGCTTGTACAAACCTTCCCTTCCATCTAACTACTTACCTTAGCTTCTGTTAATCTGATTGTTTGCAGCAACCCCCACCTGTGAATGGAAGTTTCTATTCTGCCCAGTTCTGCAAGTTTTCATTAGCAAAGAAACACACCATTTGTAAAGAGACTGCACTTTTGTTTCCCAGTCACCCAGACTTGAACAATCACACAGAAACTTAATTAAAACACTATTAATAAAAACACTATTTGGTCAATGGCTTAGGTATATTTCTAGTTAGCTCTTAAATCTTAAATTAACACATTTCTATTAATCCATGTGTTGCCATAAGGCTTGGCTTAACAGTAATATTCTGGTAGCTTTCTCCATCGGCACCCATAT